GCGCAACACCAAAGATATTTCGCTCTGTGCAAACCTTTGACTCTAATATGTCAACAACATGAAACAAGAATATGAACCTGGCTTTATCCAATGTTCACACAAGAGTTCTACATCCTGACACATCCTTCATCTACACTGTCTCAACTGAAAGAGGACCAGAAACACATTAAAAATATAATAAAATGTGGAGACTTTGGGATATTTATCTCCCATTCTTTTACTTTTCGGGCATTTTACAGAGCAGACATGTCGTTGATGTCACTGTTTACCAAACTACCACTTTTTCTGAAAAATGCATAGAATGATGCAATATATGTTAAATACATGGTTTATACATGTAATTACTGGGGTTCCATTTTCTTCTGATTACCTAATTTGGGCGTGCACATTTGGGCGTGCACATTTGCCGCGCGCAAACCTACCTCTTTTGGATTTGGAAAGGTTGGCATGTATGGTTTATTAATTATTAAGGTTCCTTAGACGTTGTTTCCTGCAAATGACGCGATTTCGGCCCCGGAACCGGGTCCGTGGGGCTTCTGCTGACAATTAGCCTGATTAAAGTTTAGATTCACGCATGTTGAATTGTGAGTGCACCCTTTTGATTAAAGGGGCCCTATTATACTCATTTGCAGGTTCATAATTATATTTTGAGCCTCTACTGGGACATGTTTCCATGCTTTAACCTTCAAATAGCTCTTTATTTTTCTCATACTGCCTGTGCTGCAGCACCTCTTTTCACTCTCTGTCTGAAACCAGAGCCCAGTCTGCTCTGATTGGTCAGCTGGCTGGCTCTCTTGTGATTGGTCAACCTTTAAGTGATGTCCCGGCCCTTAGCCTATTTGTACAATGTTTTGAAGCGCTAACCAATAGAAGTTTGAGGGTTACGTAGTGATGTCACTATGTTGCGGAAGTAAACAAAGGAGTCCAATGGAGGGGTTTCAGAGGGGAATGTGTGGGAGAGAAACCTTTGGATTACATACCCACAAAGCATAATAGAGCTCCTTTGATATCTACAAAAAGAGTTGCACTTGTTTCTCCCTCTGTAGTACAACAGAAGCTCAGTTTTGATCCACAGTGAAGATGCATGCTGTAAACCAGAGATCAAAATGTTTTCCTCGGATTGAACAAATCACTGGAGTAATATAAACTCTTTCCTTTCTAGCTGCCACCACCACATCCCTCTCCCTGGTGAATGAAGCTCAGTATCTCATGATCAACCGTGCCAGTGTGGAGCTCATTCAGAAAGTAATGAGCAGCAGGTTGGAACACAGGATTTGTTATTCAAAATAAGCAATGCTCTGTAGAGAAAAAAAGAATCAGGATCCGTCTACGCCTGTACATTTACATTACATTGGATCATTTACAGAGCGACGCTAAATAACATGCAATTTCCCACACTCCCTTTCTCAGGCAGGACGACTCAGAGGGCGATCAGCTTCTTGACACACAGAATGTCATTAGCCGCTTCCGAGCCAATTTAGTCATCGCTGGAGTAGAACCATTTGAGGAGGATAATTGGCCACACTTGATTATTGGCAACACTAGATTCGTGGTGAGCTAACACTTCCAGATACATGAGGAAATCTTCAAATGAATTAAAGGCAGATTGCTCTAAAAAATAATGTCCTCCTCTTTGTGATGAACCCAAAGGTCGCAGGTCAGTGTGGAAGGTGCCAGATGATTGGCGTAGACCAGGAGACTGGGGGCAGAACAAAAGAGCCGCTCATGTCTTTGTCTGCCTATCGCAACGGGAAGGTCAGCCAAAAATAATTACTGCTCATTCGGGTGCTATATGAAGTTAAAATGTGCATGAAAAGATTAATGAGTTGTGTTTTTATATATTTGTAGGTCACTTTTGGTGTGTACCTGACCCATCAGCTACCAGAGGGCTCCACTGAAACAGGCATCCTCTCTGCTGGTTCCCTGATACAGACACAGTCCTTGAAGTAGTCATTTACAACTTGTTTTTAATCTATTTTTCCGACATCTTTTGTCCTAATCAGTACGTCTGCTCATCACGTAGTAAAACTCACCTGTCAAATACTGTGGCGAGTTTCTATTGATGCTGCTCTCTTTATTTGTCTGTGCAGCTCTGGTGGCTTTTCCCCTCTCAAGTGTCCTTTTCACACCAGAGCATTCAGATTAGATTCTATACAAGTTTGTTTTAATGGGAAGTGAAATTCATTTTCTGGATATTTTTTTAATATAAAGTTTTTTTAAATACGTGCAATAAAGAAGATGTGAAGTATTAAGTGGATGATAACATCATAAGTGTACTGTATTACTGTTATTCGAGCCAAAACATGTCGGACTCGATGCAATAATCGCTGCTCACATTAAACTTAGAGACAGTTTATTCCTGTGCGGGATTATATTGCTTTTAATTCCAAACACCACTGAACACTGTTACTGCTGCTACAAATCAATAACATATATTGGTTTAATGGAAAAAACCTTCCAGGCACTGCGTGCTTAGTAAATGCTCCAGAAATGGGGTGGATACATTTTATGACAAAAAGAGTATACCATTTATTCATTTATACAATTTACTTTTATTTTAGAGTTACGCAGAAAGTGCACATTAATAGACAATTCTGTAAATGTGCGTGGTGTAGTGAAAGGTCCAAAGCAAACATAAAATACATTTAAACAGGAATGCCAATACATAAACCATAATAGAAAGCACACTTCAGGTTATTTCCTGTTTAAGATAACAATGTGTATTTTCACAGGGACATTTTGGCCATCAGAAATGATGTGCTCAGAGTGACATTCTTCTTCCAAAAGTAATGTTATGTGCTTATCTGATCTGTCAAAGTCTGACATGTCTTTGTTATAGAAATCTGTAATGGGGCTGCTGTGTGTCACTTGGTTTTGTACTGCTTGTAGCATGTTCACCTGTACAGTATGTGCGTGCCCACATGGGGAATAGAAATGACATAAAAGGAGAGAATGGTAATATAGAGATGGATGACAAATTAAAGCCTCCAGGATATCTTCAGCACTCCTTGGTATTATTTCTCCAAGTCTCTGGAACTTTAATGGATGGATTAAGGTTATTCTTCTAATATTCCCTCATGTAGTCTTTAATTGACTGTAGGATATGAATCAAAGCATGTCATGGCAGGTTCAGATTCAGATTCAACTTTATTGTCATTACATAGTACTTGTACTGGTGACGAAATGTAAGTTTAGGCATCTGACCAGAAGTGCAAAATAGCAGTGCAGGAGTCTACATAATGAGAATAATTATACATGGAATTTTTATAAATAGAATAATTATAAATAGGCTATAAACAGATGAATATATACAGTGTAAACGGCATTGACAATAAAATATAAAATATATAAACAGGTGGATGGTGGGTATGGGCTTGAGTCTATCAGCGGGCAGAGTTCAGCAGGGTAACAGCCCTGGGGAAGAAGCTGACCCTGAACCTGCTGGTCTTGGACCGGAGGCTCCTGAGCCGCCTCCCCGAGGGTAGGAGGACAAACAGACAGTTTGCAGGATGAGAGGTGTCTTTGAAGATGTTGTGCGCCCTCTGCAAACACCGTATCCCCTGGATGTCCTCTATGGCAGGGAGTGGGACACCGATTATGCGTTGGGCGATTTTCGTCACCCTCTGCAATACCTTCCTATTGAGCATTGTGCAGTTCCCATACCAGGCTGTGATACAGCTGGTCAGGATGCTCTCAATGGTGCAGCGATAAAAGTTCACCAGGATCTGAGGAGAGAGGTGGTCTTTCTTTAGTCTCCTCAGGAAGAAGAGACGCTGGTGAGCCTTCTTTACTATGTTGGTGGTATTGTTGGACCATGAGAGGTCATCGGATATGTGGACCCCCAGGAACTTGAAGCTATACACACGCTCCACCGCCGTTCTATTTATGTGGATGGGAGTGTGTGTGTTGCCTTTCGATCTC